GGGAAAACAGCTCAAATGGCAGAAGATTTAAGAAACATGAGGTACTTCTATTGCAAAACAATGACAGTGGGTACTCAAAGAGAATCTGGAGAAGAACAAAATGCAAAACTAGATCTGATTTCAAGATCAAAAAAACTTTCTGTAAGAGTTCACTACTTAGTTCACCAAAGAAGAAAGTCATAACAAATTCCAAGGTGATTAAATAGGATTAATCCAAGTGGACAATTCCAACTCTCATTTAGGATCGTGTTTTCCACACAGCCCATCTCCCTTAAGCTGTGCAGCATTTGTGGTGAGGCTTGATAGAGTGAAAAATCTAGTACTATTGAGCAGTACCTTTTAATAGCCTGAGGCAAACAACTGAAGAAATCAATTATAGTAGATAGCCTTTTCCTTCACACCATCTCCATGGAGTTGGGATAACTAGCATTTCCTACTGCCAAAAGTTAAACAGTCCTTCTCTTCCACCAAATGAAAAGGGACCCTTCACATTCTTGAAACAGTAACAATGACTATAAACTACATGGATCAAAACAGTCTCAAAGGATGGCCCTTCCACAGGTTATAGCTCCAATCTGCACAGGTACACATGCCACTCTTGCATACCAGAATCAACTGTTTAACTATTCAAGGCCTACAGCCAAGATATTGGATGCTATAACTCTATGATTCTATTACGAGCAGTGCTAAAAGTAAGGATCAAACCTTTCCAAAGCACAGCATGTCATCCACTTAAAAATACTACACATGATCTCATCTTACAAATGCATTTAAATTAAATTATACGCACCTACAGACAAGTCCATCTTGCTGCCTGGAATGTCCTCAGTTTGACTCTGAGGGGGGGAGGAAAAAAAAAAATCAGTTCTGACTTTTATGAAATTTTGAGGAATGTTTCAAGAAAGCAGCCCTTGATGGTTAAACGTGAAATGAAGAAAGAACATGCTTGTGCCAATAAAATTTTTATTTTAAACTAAAACAAAATACAAGGATTCCTGATATCACCCTGGACACACCTCACCTCAACCCCTAATGCTGTGTGTGGCAAGTTTACCAATATGAAACCAGACACATGAACACATGGGACAGACAGAGAAAGATGGATAGACAGCTGCTCTGTGAAATGAACCTCTGTCCTCATGTTCCAGTGGTCGAGAGATGAAACACTGAAAATAGTGGCCAAAAAGATAGCTCATCCTCATGACCTGTCAAGTCATCAAATCTTGAAATGTGCTGCCAAGTTATTCTTTAGTTGGCAGTCTGGGACAGGGTGTTCCCATAGCTTTCAGAAGCATCTATGGTCTAGCAGACTGAATTTGGGATTGGAAGCCAACAGACGTTAAACTAATCCGAGTCATGTCAGTGACAGTTTGTGCAGCCCTAGGCTTCTCACAAACCTCTGCACTATTATCTTTTGCCAGTCTGGATTACATACTATTCCTGCTTCACAGACTGTCAGTTGGTACAATATTCCGTAAAATGTTTTACAAATTAGCATGTCAGAATTTCTTAAAAAAAAAAATAAATTATGTAACCATTTCTAAGGTACTTACTTCCCTGCAAATCTGTCTTTTCTCTCCATGATGTACCATTTATTTATTCACTTTACCAATCAATCTTTAAGTACCAATTAATAACGAGCAAAAAACCCTGCTGCACAGTATTTAAATTATAAATAGCCAAGACAGACACAGGGCTGTAAATCTCCATTTCTGATTGGTGGCTGAGATTCAGAATGAATAGCCTTGGATTAATCACAGATGTCTGACACTACAGCCAGGAGCTGAGGCCTCTACCTTGAGCACTCTAAACAGCATGTTATGGAAAAAACCAAAACCAAATTAAAACAAAAACCCAACACCAAGCACAGTAAAAAACCCCAAAATCCTATTACTTGCAAGGAAACTACAATCTCAGAACAACAGCTGTCAAAGTAACCTTTAAGAGTCAAAGTAGATCTGGGGTTTTTCTGAGAAGCCATTCCGACTAGCAAGGAAGTGCTGAATATCCAGCTATTACAGGCATTATGGTCAACATGCCAGCAGAGCAAATGCAGATGAATAAGTAGTTACACACCGTGAAACGGCCAATCTTTTGGACTTTAAATTTAAAGCTTACTGCTTTCTTACAAAGTTAGATTTTGTATTTTTAAAAATGTACTTACTAGCAAGCCCATATTTGAAAACTGTTTGGATAAAGGGTTCATCCACGAATCACTATTTCCTCCTTTTAATGAGCACTGAAAAGACAAAAAAGACAAAAATATTTTTAAGCAACTCCTTGGTTTCTTAAATTCTGTTTTATCCTTGAGATGTTCAAGTGTCAAAAGAAAATCGTGGTATTGGAGAAATAAGCCTCTTATGTTAATTTAAGTTTCTGTGTGGTTGGAAACATTTAACAAAATAGCTTTTCATTTTCTCTCTCATAAAATTGCTCACTGTTAGGTATACCAAGTTGTACTAACACTTGCTGTGTGGAATGTTTATCAAACCTTTAATTTCATTACAGAGGTAGATTTCTTCCTTGGCTTTCTTCCCTTTAGTATGGATTCTCTAACATGGGCACTGTGCTGACCCAGCTCTCAATTTGGCCTTACTGTAATTTACAGGTGATTAAAACCAAAACTGAATACAGTTCAACAGAAGAAAAATTTCTGGACAGTTGCTTTGGTGGTTAAAATAACTTATTCCTCACTTTAAGTGAGAAATATTCCTCACTTTAAGTGAGAAATAAGTTCATGAGAATCATTATTGCAAAGTAAGATATGTAAACGTCCACACCACACCACAATAGTATTTCCACATCCTAGGAAGCTGCTCTGCACTTGGCTTTTGAATTTGCCCTACCTATTTAAGTAGACAAAGCATAGTTTTTCCAATATTAATACAGTACCAAGTGTTACTGTACTAAAGAACTTCAACACATACAAACCTTAGAAAGCAATTCCCTTGGGACTATAGCCAAGCTCCTTCTCCTGTTTGAGGCCAGAGGTCAATAATAACCAACACAAATTAGACCTAAATCCAACAGTCAGTAGAAATAAGTGCATGTGCCAAAGGGACTGTGAAATCTGAACTTCAGCAGG